GATTGCCCATTACCACCAGAACCTGCTCTTCGCACACCTGCATGAAACATCGGTTCAGAGTCTGAGTCACTCATCTCACATTTTTGGCCATTCCATACAAAATGATGGCTCGTCTCATTGGTGCATAGCATGGCGATCTCCATCATCCCAGGCGGCCCAGGCGGCCCAGGCGTCCCAGGCGTCCCAGGCGGCCTCCAGTGCCTCCAGTTTCACCCGGGCGCCGCTGTGGCCGGATCCTGCGGCGATTGCAGCACTGCCGGCCGCCTTCCGGGCCCGGGCGCTGGCGAGCATGGCGGCCTCGCGATCATGAGCAAAAGAGCCGATGGCCGCGGATGTACCACTGGATTTGCCACAGTATTACCAGAGTGATTTATGATGATTTTTGATGTTTGATGATGATGATGATTATTATTCTTATTCTTCTTCTTCTTCTTATTATTATAATAATTATTATATATTATTATTATGTATGATGATTGATGAGAATTTATGATGACTTTGATTTTTTTTTGCAAACACTTGTTACGGCAGATACGAAATAGAAGCAATGGCTTTTCAACGTCCGTTGCCGTTGCTAAGGATTCTGAAGAAGATACAACCAATGTGTGAACATGTTGAATCAATTGAACAAATTTGCTGTAGCAGTAGAGCGGCTGGTTGGTTCAGAGGTGAATGACAGACAATGCAAGACATTGACAGATATATGATATATGCAAGACATGTACACATATGTATTTATATATATAATATGATATGAAATAATATTAATATAATATAATATAATATAATATAATATAATATAATATGATTTAATGAAATATAATTAAATATAATATGATATAATTTTATATAATATTTTTTTATAATATTAATATAGTTAATATAATATGATATAATACAATATAATATAACATAATATGATATAATGAAATATAATATAATATAATATATAATTTAATATATATATATATTTAAAATAATATTAATATAATTAATAAAATATGCTATAATACAATATAATATAATATTATATAATATAATATGACATACCGACATATATAATATAATATAATACAATATAATATAATATAATATAATATTATGTAATATAATATAATATAATGCAATATGATATAATATAATATGATATAATGAAATATAATATAACATAATATAGTATAGTATAGTATAACATAACATAATATAACATAACATAATATAATATAATATAATATAATGGATACATGCACACAGCCCTTTCTGGTCCATGCAAACATGGACAAGCGAAACCCTTGCTCTCAGAGTATGCCACAACCATTTTATTCAGAGTTTTCACACTCCTGATCCTCTGATGTGAGAGGACACAGCATCCCGTTGTAGGGCAAATTTCTGGGAGTTTCATCTTTGGACGATGTTTACTAAAAGCAACAACCGAAGGAACTCAATCTTCAAACAGCTTGACCCTATTGCTGCAGGCATGGACCTTTGCGTTCGCCGGCATTACATATGCACGCTGCCTAATCTCGGCCCATCTAAAAACGCACAAACACAATGCTGCGTTTCACCGGGCAGCATATATGCAGCAAACATGTAACCAGACTCCAGTGCCGTGTATGGCAACAGCAAGGCTTACACCAGTTGTTCAACATGTGCCCCCAGTTTCCTTCTTCATCCTCAAGCCAATGAGATCATGCTGACCTTGGTAGCGTCAGTGACCTCCAGGTGCACGTGGCTGCCACAGAACAGTTGACTGTCAAGAAGTTATTGCTGAATTGAAACATGTCGGTCACACTGTCACACCAATACTATCTATTGGAGTGTCGGAGATGATCGAATTACCAGGAGTTTTGGTGGCTCCACTGTTGCCAATATGCGTGTCAGATTGCAGCTTTTGCTGTTGCCATTTGAGCCCAAGACATCGCCTGCTGTCATCCCGTGCTCAGAAAGCCTCAGGCTCCTAGGCAGCCAACATGGCCCAGACCGTGTTGGAGGTTGGGATCAGCGTGTCCCAAACGTTCGGACTTTTTGATTCCAGCTATATTCCAGGTGATGTATCTTATTTATCGCATGTTTCTGATGGTCAGTTAGGGACTTTCCATCCTGGCACATTCCCCATTCTCGCATGGAGGTCTTTAAGAAGTTCGATGCTGATGACTCCGGCGCAATTTCCCGTACGGAGCTGGGGGAGGCCCAATGGCTGGACCGGTTCCCAATGTTGGACTTTGGGACTTCGATTGTTGATGAGGTCGTGAGGTTCCCATTCTTTGTTGCTTGAGATATACAATAATTTCTCTTGAATTCCCAAAACTCATCTTGCGAGGGTTGTATTTCACTTGCAGCCCTAAGTTCCGTCAGTGGTGAATAGCATTTGGCAATTCATGCGCTTTTGGCTTTTGGGTTGGTGGCCACCCCTGGGACTGCCACCTTTGTCATCAGGTGTTGCAAGCTTTGAAAGAAACAGATCCATGGGATGATGAAGACATTGATGAAATTCTGGCAACAGCGGATGCAAGTGGCGATGGCGAATTGCAGATTGAGGACGTTGAAAAAGATGTCAAGTTCATTCATCAATGCTGTCCACCTGCAGTGTGCATCAAGATGTTTCTGTTTGCCTTTGGGATCCTTCGAGCTAGATGAAGGCTAGCATTTATATGCATTTATTAGATTTATTATTCATTATATTATTACACATTTTGCCTAATCTTTTGTTGCTGTGTTATATTGGGAACCAACAGAAATGATGACCTCTATATATAGACTTCATCGACAAAGCCTCTCCAAGCCCTTCGGGCGGCACCTGCTTCGGGCTGGACAACGCAGGAGTTTGTGAAGTGGGTCTTCGCTGAAGACAAGGAGATCTCTCAGGGGATCAAACCCAAGGCCACGGTGAAGATTTCAGGTGGGATTTGCCACCGCTCGGTGCGTCAAAAAATTGGCAAACATTATAGGTTTTTGTCCAACAGTGCGGGGAATTACACCAATGCCAGGGCAAATTTCATAAGGAAAATGATGATTATGTTTGGTATCCTATTTTCAAACAAATCCACATGCATAACAGCCTCACAGCTGCATCACATGTGTGGCATCATGGTGTGCCACAAGGAAAGTGTCCTCTGCAGGTTGCTCTCGAGACGAGTTCAATGGGAACTACGTCCAGAAAGAAGGAGAGTATTACTACCGTCGGCCAATCTTCTACTGCGAGGAGAAGAAGAAATTCCTCTTCTACCATGGAGAGAGGCACCTGGCTGGGGAAACTGGGAAATTCAGGTGAGGGACAGAACAGGGCTTGCTGTATCTTGTCTCAAGACCAGTGATATCCACAGAACTCACATGCCTGTGTCTTCCTCACAGAAACTCAGAAGTTTGCGAGGCAGTGATAAGTTCGTTGACCCACTCTATAAACCCATCCACCCTCAATGGTCACCTATGGTTTCCATGCATTGCCAATGCGAGGGGCCAGTGGCAGCTGTACTGGCGCACGGGTCCAAAAGCTTCTTGTCGCATCAAGACCACGCGCACGGCTCATATGCCCGGAGAGGGCAAGACTTGGGCAGTTTACAAGCAGAAGAGCAGCAAGAGCAGCTTGGCCGCTACATCCTGCACGGTACTATCAAATCATCAGATCCTGCATCTAAGTTCTCAAACACATCGAAGTTATCGAAGTGTCATGAAGTGTCTAAGTTTCCAAGTCCACTTCCTCAAGATACAAAGCACCAACTGGGGCCACTTTGGCCCAGATGTCAGACAGAATCAGATATGGTTTGGGTGTCATCTCCAGCACGACAGGTAAGAAGAAGAAGATGGTGCGCGAACCCGACATGAAGTGCGAGGCTGAAGTGGCTGAGGTGCCCGATCAACAGGAGAATGCTGAGGTGCCGGCGCCACCCATGCCGTTGACGAGTCTGATCTCTCATGGGGGTATTGGAGCCATGTGTAGCTGCAATGTTGTTGGATTCAATCCATAGCACGATTGAGTGAAGCCGTCTTTGAGAAGGGAAGCTACCGAAAAAGGATGGTGAATACTCGTAGGGGTACCTGAGAACTCATTATTTCCAGAGGATTTTGGCTTGGCTCCAACTCCGGTCATAACTTGTTGACAGCTAAACGCCACCAAATTTCTGTCGGTGCAGAGGAGCTGCTCCTGCAAGCGGAGCCATGCGTGAAGTTTGATGAGATCTACTACAAGAAGGTCGATGGAGAGGCCGCGACGGAAACGGTGACTACAACTGTAGGAACAACATGGAGGCAAAACCGACAAAGGTGATTCTTTGGCTCTGCAACCATCCGAGAAATGTGATATGTGATATGAATAATATAAAGTACCAAATCAGGAGATCAACAACCACACTTATCCGCTCAGAATAGATCACGAAGTCCTGGAACGGTCGTCATTCTTGTGAAAGCCATGATTTTGCAAGGGATGCTTTGATACACAACTTGTGGATTGTGCTCAGGTTATATTACCGGATAGGATATAAATGATATTGATACGGTCAAATCTCCCAACGTTCGCCTGACTTTGAGCTCAGGTCATTGGCAATCGAGCAGTCTACCGGCAGTCCAAGGGTGATGATGACTGGGGTGACACCTATCTCTTCTACGATAAACCCGAGACCAAATGGAAACGGGCCAATGAAGCCGCGGAGGGTGCGGTGGCCTTAAACAAATCAAGGACTGCGATGCTTTTTGTGTCTGGAGTGTAAGATGGAAGCATAGTATCACAGTATAGCTCCTCAGTGTTTTTTTCTGACCCAGGGCCAATTAGATCTTGCGAAAATCGCCTGGACGACCATGTGACAGTACGATTGCCAAGCACCCAGAAAGGTAGACTGTAGACCTTTTGGACAACCAACAGAGGGCAGATCCAGCTCGTGTTTCTGTATTTTGTTTGTATCTTTGCAATCGGAACGAGCCACGTCGATGATAGCCAGGTATTAGTTTGATTCAAATAGTAGGCAGTGACAGGATCACAATCGCATTAGCCACTAGCAGCCACAGGTTTTGCCTTTGTCGAATTTCACCATTTCATTTCTCCTGTCTATACAGGCACTGATCGTGACATTGTGGTCACGGTGCGTGATGCAATTTACAGTATCTTTTTTTGTTTTTTTCTCGAGATGAATAGTCACAAATCTTGCGCTAGCTAGCAGTTTATCTTCACATGACACAAGTTCGGCAAGTTCGGAGTGTCTTCTCAAGATATATTATGATATATTCTTGCATATTTATTTTCTGCAGATTCTGCAGAATTTTCTTTTTGAATGTCAGAACTTCGTTCGCATTGTTTCTTGGAAGGTTGATCACAGACATCACATGGTTCGAAGCGAAGAGATTCTCATCGCCATGCGGCCATGTGTCCAAGAATCGGTTTCGGGGAAATCACTGGAAGATGAACACAGTGAGCTCATAAATATGTGGTAGTAGAAAAAACTGTTTTGTTACTGTTTGCCCATTTATTCGAATTCTTTATCCCCAAAATATCTCTCCTGTGAGGATTACCAAGGTGCCTTCCCCAGAGAAGGCTGCCTGGTTTGATGACCATGGAAAGATGGACGTGAACGCCGTGGACACGGACGGCATTCCCAACAGCACCGGGCAGAGCTTGACCCTGAACCACAGCGTGCAGGAAGGGTGGAAAGATGAGACCTTCCCACACAACAAGGAGCCATATGATATCATATGATCCATATATGATCCATATGGAGATCAATGGACCAATGGAGTCACGTTGCGGAGCTGATGTTGTGAACCAAACCTGGATAAACCTGGCGATCTTTCAAAGGGCTATTTTGGCTGGAAAACTTCCAAGCACGGAATATCAATCGAACAAAAACCGTCTCAGAAACTTTCTACGTCATGTTGCTTTTTTTCTTGAGATGTCTGGAAAATGAATTGACTGCTCTGACTCTCCCCCAAAAAAATTCGGAGAGCTTCCTCAGAACAACTTGTATGAGAAGTCGGCGGGCCAACCATGACCGCAGGACTCCGTTGGTCAAAGATGTTCCCCTCTGACATGGCAAACTTTCAGTATTGTGCTGGTTATGTCAATGATTTGGGTCTCGATCCCACTTATCACTGGGGTTACGAATACCCTAACGACCAGGGTTATCTACCAGCAACTACTCGTTTTCCAAAATGCTTTGCAGTGGCTGGCAGTGGCTATACAAAATTATACATATAAATCACTATAAATCCATCTGGAACCCTTAGGGCCCATCAACCCCCGAGCCCAGGCTCCGAAAAGTTGGGTCGGATGCGGTGGCTGCGCGCCATGGCTCTCCATGAGAATCCAGTCCTCTTCGCTGATGTGGAGCCTGCGGATGCCTTGCAGGGTAGCCTGGGCAATTGTTGGCTGATCGCTGCAATGGCTGCGATTGCTGAGTTCCCATCCTACATGAAGAACAACATTTTTCAAAACAAGAAGGCGCGGCTGTTTGAGAAGAGTTTCATGACATTTTTCATTGGGTCGTTCGGTAGCAAACTGTACATCAAAAGCTATGTCATTTATGTCCGTTTGTCCCGTGCAGAGAATTTGCCAATGAGATAACACCCTGTGCAGCTCGCGAAAGACGGAAAATACCACATCAAGCTCTTTGATGGTCGCTACAGCCGCTGGAAAGTCGTCACTGTGGATGACTACCTGCCATGTTCCGCCTGGGGTGGAGATAGTCCATCCCTATTTTTCGCAAAGATAAATGATGGGAAGCTGTGCCTGGCTCTGATTGAAAAGGCCTTTGCCAAGCTCTACGGATCCTATTCAGGACTATGGTCTGGCTTCCAGCCAGTGGCCTGGTATCACCTCACGGGCTGCGACAATTTCTTCCGCTACAAATTTACCTACGAAGTGGCCGCGAGATGGGAAGTGAATGCCGATGTTGCAGTGTATTCCGACAAGAGGAGAACCAAAAAGCTGGGCGTTTTGGCACAGGGTGCACACTTCCGTGAGGCACAGAGGGTGGGCTCCTGGGTCAAGATCTCCAAGGAGGATGGCGATGGACCCAGCTCAGGATGGATCTCGTACTATGACAAAGGCAAGCGTGTGGCGAGCCGAAGTCCTCTCTATCCACCGAGGTACTTCTTCCAACATATGCAAATCAACGGAAGCGCAGCAACTTGGATGAGCCCACAAGCACCCACCAAGTGGTCTCAGACCAGGATGGTATTTTGTGTGAACACAAGTCCAATGTGGTTTGAAGGCTATTGTTGAGACTCTAGACATATCAATACATATCTGAAGACATCTCAAGATCTTTTTTTGACAAATAGATATGTGCCATTGGGCCATGGCCACCCAGTTTGAGCAAGTCAAGTCTGCCCAAGGTGATGGAAGCCAATGGAACTGATCATTCGGTGGCCGACTGGTCCAAGTCTTTCTACACCAAATCCAGCGCGTTTGTTTCTGGGCAGCCCTTATCCAGCCCTTTTAGAGTTTTATTAGGAGATTTTCGTCCTATTCTTGAACAGCGAAGAAGAGACGCTAGCTTGCTAGCTGGAGTTGGATTAGCTCTAGCAATGAATACAATGAATTGGGGGCAAACTGGATACACTCTCCATGATGTTTCATGTCGAACTGGTTTTGGGGCCCCGACGTTCAGCATGATTAATCATTTCGAACGCGTCCATCTCACTGTGTACGGTGATGGACATGATGAGACATCATTTCGGGACAGGTAGTTTGCTAGCTGTAGTTAGCCTTTAGCTTTGTTTTAAGGAAATGTCTTCGGGGCAAAGCTTGGCCTGTAGATGCTAAACGTCAAACATACTTTGTCTGTCCAGAACCCGCAAAATTAAGAGCACTCGATCCATACAACTTCGATCCATACAACTTCTCTGTACGATAGCTTCACGACATGGTATTCGACAAGACAGATTTCAGTAACACAGCAGCAACATAGCAGTCGAACACATGCTATGTATCCAGAAGGGCTAAAGGGAGTACACACACACACACACGCTGTCTGTCCACAAACCATCAAAATCAAGAGCAACTTCTCATGTATTCAGATATATAAGATGATATTCGCCGTGAGTGTTCTGAATGTAATGTAGTGTAACGCAATGCAATGCAGTGTAATCTTGACAAACACAGCAGTCGAATGCATCCGGAAGCACCAATATGAACACTATTTGACACATAAAATGTCATGGGTGATACCTTCCCGCTGCAAGGGTTGGTGAAGGTATCAAACGAACTGGAACTCGACCAAACATAAAACTCCAATGCATGCCATGCACCCTGAAGCACTGAGATGTGTTGTGGGACTCGTCCCTCAGAACGTCATGGCCGAATGGACGTTCGTAGGAGTTTGGCGTTGGGCGGGATGGATTCCTTGGCCCTGGCGGAAAAAATTGGAAATGTTCTGATAATATGGTCTTTGAAATAAACCACTGGGTACGAACTACCCTTGCAGCAGCATTCAAAGATAGCTGGGCAAAAGCGGCCCGAAACACCGCTCCAATTGTTTTGCTTTTCAAGGGCGGCCATTACACATGGCTCAAAGCACCACCAAATGAATCGGTGCCGGAGGCCTGGCTGAGGGAATCTAAATTTTCCCAACCCTAAAGATCTCCAAGGAGAAAATGGAAGGACAGGAAAAAAACAATCAGCTTCTCATGGCAATGCTTCCCAGGTGACACCTTCAGTCCACACAGTTGTTGCTGGTGGAAAGAAAAAAAGAAAGACGGCCAGCAGCGCTACACCCTCAGTCCACACTGTGGTCGGGCCCAGCTGGCTTGAAATCTGAGGCAACTCCCTCGGTTCACACAGTGGTTGCGGGCAAAGAACATAAGTTTGATGAGGCGTCCTTGTCCCCAATGATTGAGGCAGGCGGGGCCAGCAGTAGCTCGACTGACAGGCCGTCAAGCGACAAAGCATGTGAAACATGGCAGGAAGCTCAAGGGTTGCTGCACGCAATCCAGGTGGGGCTTCAGGCAGACTTGCTTAAAGACAGGAAAAGACAGGAAGATTGGAGTGTTGCAATCTTGTTTGCTGATGTGTGGTTCCCTCACATTCCCTCACCAGAAGTGTGAACGATGCTCTTGCACAAGCCTTTGATGCTGAAAAGGCCCAAGAACAGACCCAGCCCGTCAAAACGCCTTGGGTGTTGAAACAAAAACGGCTTTGGGGTAAACACCCACCTGGTATCAAGTTTGCCCCTGAGAAACCTCCCATTGGGGTTCCCCTGAGAGAAAGCTATTCTTGGAAGTGCAATCTCTGAAGCCGTGTTATCGCCGAAAGGAAAAAAGGGACTTTCTTGAGTAGAAGTCTAGAAAGATCTGATAGCTGAGAGAAGGAAAGTTTACCCACTTATCGAAGCTTCAGACCTCTCCTGGAAAGTTCGACACTGGACATGTTGCAAGTGTGGACTTGGGCTGTCTCGGCTGCCTCAGTCGCAACTTGAAAGGAGAAGAGACACGAATTTAGCAGAGCACGGCCAAGGAGAACTTCGCAAAACTAAGGGGTTCGCAAAAGGACCACATGGCTTACCGTGTCTATGCGCGGAAAAAGACGGGCTGGCATTTGTTTGAATGGAGGAAAGAGACAATCAAAGAAGCGAAGGAGCAAGGACACGACCTAGAATCTTTTGTTTCTTCTGACACTCTTTTCAAATCCCAACCTGTGAGATTCACTTGCAGACACTGCAAACGGCTGCAAATTGAGACGGATGTTTTCAGAAGGCAGAAATGTAAGGAGTATGCTTTTCCTAACGCCAAAGTTTGGAGGGCCCTGAGGTTAAAATACAGTGTCTCAATCCCGATTTGTTGAAAGTTTGGGGATGGGGGAAAAAGGAACTCAGACAGATGGAGGCAAGGGCGGCTTCTGATAGAGTCCGAGGTCTTTAAACAAGCCACCGCCAAAACTTCCGGAATTGGAAAGCAGCTTTGGTTTCGCAACCTTCCTGAAGAAGGCGTTGCTGAAGAGCCACGGCCTGGAGAGATTTAACCCTAGAGGGGGTTGAGCCCAATCCGGGCCCCAGAAAGAGGGCCAAAAGCGAATCAGGGTCGACACTGTTGCAGCTGAATGTGAACAGCAGGGAAAACCTTTGGACCATGGCTTCGCAAAGCCTAGATGTTGATGTGATGTGTATTCAGGAAACGCACATGAACCAACCGGAAACGAACATGTTTGCTCAGAGCAGGTTCAAGCTTGGGTGGGTGCCCGCGCTATCCCTACGACTTGTAGGCATGGGGTCATGATCATGGTTAAAACAACATATTTTTAAAACAGCAAGTCTAGTAAGATCCTCTTTCGACTTTCTCACCCTGGAGGACAACTCCTTGGCCCATCACTCTGACAGGGAAGAGTGCACGGCCCAGGTTTTCGAATTCTACCCAAGCCTGGGGTTAAGACCCTGGGTGAATGATGAACCTAACCAGAGTCCCATTGCGCTGGGGCTTCAAGCATGCGGAAATGACATTTGCATGCCAGCCCAGGATGGCAGCAGGTGGCTCAGTTAGAGAGTGATTGACTAGGATATCACGAATTGCAAACTGACTTCTGCTTTCATGTCCATAAAAAGTGAACACTGGAGTGACCACAAAGCTGGAGTTTTTGAGATTGAAGTTCCTCACATGAGTGACGTGAAGGAGAAATACGAAATGGTTCCTTGTAACTCTTACTTGCCAAAAATCCAGGACATGCTCAGGCGGACCGAACAGTTGCATGAGGGATGGACCAGACAGAAAGAGTGCTGGCAGGCGGTGAGGTTTGACTTGGCAAGCGAAAGCAGCAATTTAGACAATCCGCCATCTGAGGCTGAACGCCGGGACATGGCGGACCAAATTTGGGTTGTTTTTAATGACTACATGGAACGTTTCTTTCAGGCTCAGGCCCGCGAGGCTGAAAGGTCGGGGGTGCCCATGACATACCACCAGAAGCTCCAACGTAGAAAAGGTGCCTTCCCTAAGGTGCGCAGAGTGCCCCTTGTCATGAGACAACTTTACCCCCAAGGCACCACTAATCACCTCAGGGTGTGGCAAAAGTTGTGGGGTCAGTTGTGTGAAGCAGAAAGACAAGAGCACCACGACATACCACGACACACCTGTCCAAGAGCTTAACTCCTTGTGGATAAAATCAGAAGATGTTGATTTTACACACCAGGTTTGACGGCGGCGGAAGCGGCCGAACATGTTGATTTTCTTTTGTGAAAAGAACGAACCGACAGAGTTGCAGCTTGGCGAAAAAGGGTGCGGACCGAAAATCACCGGTTTCTCCTTCAGTAAATGTCTTTGATGATGAAAGGGCGCCAGATGAGGCAAGCTGCAATGTCCAAGGTGCCCTGGGCAAAGTCAAGGACTTGTGGAGGAGAGTCCGGAATAGCTCAAGCTGCTGGTCGTCAAAAGCACAAAGCAGAGAGCGGATGGATGGGTAGGGTCCGAGGTTGCGGCCTTGCCTTTTGTCCTTTGGCAGGGCATTGAAGTTGTTTTTCAGTGGTTTGAAAAAGAATCTCTCGGTTTGGTCTCATGTGATTCAGGCTCATGTGCCAAAAACAGGTGGAGCCAGGGAAGGGGATCATGCGATTCCCGCTTCGAAGTTTGGGGCCTATGAGTCTGATGTCGACATGGTCGCGCACTTATGTTGCTGCGAGAATGGCTGGCACTCTCGAACAGACATTGCTGGAGCAGACCCTTGTTTCAGCTCAACATAGTGGCAGAAAGTCTCATGACAGCATAGCGGCGTTCGCTGAACTTGCTGAAAGATATGCCATGGGACTATGTAGGCACAATGGACCTCACATGTGCCTTTGACAATGTTTCCCACCCGAGCAGTGGACACCCTGAAATGGAACCGGTGCCCGACGTTCTTGGCGGAAGGGGTCCTGAAGCTAGGGAACAACCAGACAAGAGAGTTGGTACGGCGAACTGATGCCGGAGCCTCAGAAAATGTCCTCAAGCATGCCACAAGGTGATGGCCACCAAGGATCTTAAATATGATTCTATCAACACCAGTCAAGCACATTTTGGGCACTGTGCCGTCCACCCGGGCAGTTGTGTTCATGGATGATCGAAGTTGGTGCAGCCCAACTTAGAATGAGTTTCGGAAGGTGTTGGCCCTTTGGTTTTTCACTCTGCTCACCTGGGGCCAAAGAGAACATGACGAAAAACCAATACTCTCACAAACAACCTGAGAAACGTGCTCGCGCGCGCCTCCAAGACACTTTTCGAGACCAGACAGTTGACCACTTGTGTGCTCTTGGAGCATTCCTTGGTTCTGGTAAGGCTGTGGAAAAAGAGAATGTGAGGATCGAAAAAGCAGCAGTCTGCGCGACTAAGGTGAAAGCTTTTCCTGTGTCTGCAGCATTCAGGTCTTACGTTGCCAGTTCAGCAGCGGCCAGCAAAGCGAGTTCTTGGTTGGGCCGAACGAAGAAAGCAGTCAAAAAGTTGGAGACAAAATTGAGAAGGGCAGGGTGTGATCACAGGATGGGCTAGCCCCCACTTAACCAAAATGGTCTTAAGTCACTGTTAAGACGTGAGGTTCTGTGCTGGTGAGACTGCAACGCGTCAAATCATCAGAACAGATCATGAGTTCAAAGATTGGGCCCACAGTGGAGGCCCTGCCCAGAGAACCAGGTCCTTTTTGAAGGACTTGGGTTGGAGAGAAACGGAGGAGTGGGTGTGGAAGCGTGAGACCTCAGGCAAGTTTCTGGTCCTCCAAAAGACAAACTCGCGCTTCGTTGGCTCGTTGACTGCGTGGATCTTGTGGCACACAGCTTGAGAGAGTCTTGGCGATGTCGCATGTGGCAGCAGTATGTATGTTGGTTCCGGCCGGCACGAAACAGTAGCTTTGGCCAATGAGGCCTACTCTGACCGGTTGGCAAAGAGTGCCCGTACGCAAGGCAAAGACCGGGATGCTACCTCAGTTGGAACCTGATGTGGAGCCACAGTTTGTCCAGCCGCAGCAAACCAGATTCCGGCGCTGCTGGGTGAAAATTGTTCTTGGTGTGATCACCCGGGGTTTTTCCAGCATGTGAGCTGGGAGTGTCCTAGGTACCCAATTCTTCCATCTAAGGTGACTGAACAGCTGGGTTGGGGCTGTTATATTACTCTGAAACATCTTGCTGAGGTTCGTCGCCGTCTCCTGGTTGACAGGTATGATGCTGACTGAGGTGAGACTTTTCTGGGCGAACGCCCCCGCCAAACAGCGCTGTTTGGCAAAAACAACGAAGGCGCAGGCCACAGTGGCAACGTTCGTAGATCATGAGTGCCACCACGGAGAGAATGGAGAGGATCGGTTTGCCTGTCCAGTCCCACCTAGTCTGACCTCTCTTTCTTTTGGTCATGGACCCAACCGGCATATCTGCTTTCGTTTTTTGGATGACTTCGCCAGCTTGATTTCGTCATCCAATTCCATGATCATGACCTTGAACTTGGTCTTCTCAGAATCTATGGTGGTCCTCTTGGCTGGGTCGAAACTCATGAACTCACTGCTGGTCAAACTATCAGCTTCGGAATTCTGTCCTCTTGGTATCCACCTGGGATCCATTTCTAATCCCAGGTGCTTGAGCTGTACCGCCAACCCCATCACGACAATCGACAGCGGGGTACTTGCACGACATGAAGTCGTTGAGCACATGGGTGCGTTGAGCACATGGGTGTTGCCCAAGTTGTCTGTGCTGCCGGTATCCAGGCCATAGTCGGCCCCTGACCATTGGCAAAGTCAAGCATTCATTGGTGTGCCAGCATCTAAAGTGGAGGAAAGAGGTGCTGGCAAAGCCAATGGCACCAAATCGTCGCAACAGCTGAATGGCTGTTGCAGAGAGATCTATCCTGGGAGCTGGCCCAGGACAGCCAGGCAGCGAACTGAAGACATTTGCGCATCTCAGAGAAAATAAGTGTTTATGCGCTTAGCTTGCTGAAAGGCGTGAGGGAGTGACAAGTGCCATTGGATATGCATGATTGTCATGGATGATACCTGCATGCAGGAGGATTTGGTGACGGTCTCAAACAGGGTAAAATTTCAGCCAAGCACGGCAGTCTAAAACATGCCATGCATGAGGAAGCGCTAAGATGAACGCCATAATCTAATCTATTCTCTAATCTACTCAAGTCCAATCTAGTTCAATGCATTCAATCTAACCTAAACTAAGCTAAATCTATATAATCTAAGCTAAATCTAATCTAATCTAATCAAATCTAATCAAATCTCTAACCTAAACTAAGCTAAATCTATATAATCTAAGCTAAATCTAATCTAATCTAATCTAATCAAATCTAATCAAATCAAATCAAATCTAATCTAATCTAACCTCATCGAATCTAATCTATCTAATGTAATGTAACGCAATGACATGTAATGTAATGAAAGAACAAACATGACCTGAAGACGTCTGCGCGAAGACATGGCCCGGCCTTGGCGAGGAATAGAAGATGTGCATCTTAAGATTCCGAAGCATTTCTTGCTCGGTGGATGCATGCACCTAAATTACCAGATTCAAAACCCAAGTTATTTGTGTAGTGGAGAGCGGATTTGGCGCGACATGGCGCGACCTTTTCTCTCCATTGCATTTCAAAACTTGAAATTGAAAAGGTCGCGGCGCATACTCTCTCTTTACACATCTCTCCTTGCCCAATTAGCTTTCGCCCCTTTCCCTCTGGCCTCGACTGGCATAAAGTATTTACACACTATAAAACTGTACTGTTTATATGTATGATTGCGAGATGGGTTGTCAGTTGAGCGTTTGCTTTTAACGACGGAAACACTGACAGTGTGCCTCCAAATTTCACTGCAGGCTTCAACCGAGTCAGTGTGGCAAGACCTTTTGAAGTTCGACAAAGACAACCATCTCATGGCAGCAGTGTGCACTCAAAGCAACGACGAATCCGACTCTGGATTGGTCCATGGCCACGCGTACAGCGTCTTGAAGGTGGTTGAGATTGATGGTGTGAAGCTTGTGGCTTGCAGAAATCCATGGGGAACCGATGCAGAATGGAATGGACCCTGGAGTGATCGGAGTTCTGAATGGAGGTGCAACCCCAGCATTGCCAAAGCCTTGAACGTGGATTTCCAAACAGAGGGCACCTTCTGGATGGACTATGAGGATTGGATGTATTGCATGGGCAATATCAAGGTCATGAATTGCAAGATGCCAACGTCCAGAGGTGACTTCCATTCCCGGCTCTTGGACGATGATGAAGATGGCGGTTCTGGTGATGAGGGAGGCGAATTCAACGACGAGGACATGTCAAGGGCCAAAGTGAGTGTCAGGAAATTGAGTTGAATAGTAATTGAATAGAGGTGCAAAGGATATCAAAGGATACGATGTTCAAGTAGAAGCAAAATTCATAGAAATTCAACAATTTCGTACTGTATCAGATCTCGGCTGATGTTTGCATTCTTGGGCAAATTATATTAAGTAACCGGCAGATAGAATATTCAAAATTTCATTGATTTGAAAATAACACATAGAATTAATGCAAAAATTATCCAAGACCTAAAAAATATAATTTTAGGGAAATCAGCTTTAAAAGCATCATTTTTCCTGTGGTTTACCAGTGTTTTCAACAGATAGAATAATAACATATTTTCCAGACCCCGTCGACCCCTCATCTCCTCAATTCCCAAAGCAGCAGTCAACATTGCTGGCACACTACAACAACTCAACTTTGAATTTTTCCATCCACTCCATATGGAACTCATGTACAGACATACTAAACAAATAATACATTCACTCATAATTGATTGGCTGGCTAATATACCACTTATTGCAATCAAAATAGTACAAAAGATTGGCTGGAGCCAGCAAAGCTGGCACCCCACGTAGCTGGAATATTCTATCTGTTGATTTCGAATCATTTTGCATATTAAAACATACAGCAAAATGTGGCCGATTTACGTTCTATCCGAAAAACCACCGCAAACCAACATCAACATGAAACATGCACGCACGCACGCACACACACACACCCAACCATCAGACATAGTGCATCGAATGTTCAGTTGCAATGCTTTCGACACCCATCGACACCCACAGACGGACGATGCTCTACACAAACACAGCCTTTGCCCCTGACAAATGCATATAGTGCTATGGAAACACACGATGTGAACAGAAACAACTGAAACGTACTATGTGTTTCTCCTTCGGTTGGCGTGAATGTATGTTTTATCCATGCTTGGTTCAAACAATAATGTTCGGAAATATGTCTACCCATGTGGACACCAACAGATAGAACAGTCCAAAGTCAATCAAAAGATAGATTAATACAGAAACTATGATAACTGATAAATTTGGAAAAAAACGAAGCAAATTTTTTTTCCAGAAAATCATTTGCACGTTTGGAAACAAATTCATTCACTCATAATTTATTGACTGGCTTGTATGCCACTCATTGCAATCAAAACGGTACAAAAGATTGGCTGGAGCCAGCAAAGCTGGCACCCCATGTAGCTGGAATATTCTATCTGTTGATTTTGAATCATTTTGCATATTAAAACATACAGCAAAATGTGGTCGATTTACGTTCTATCCGAAAAACCACCGCAAACCAACATCAACATGAAACATGCACGCACGCACACACACACACACAACCATAACCATCAGACATAGTGCATCGAATGTTCAGTTGCAATGCTTTCGACACCCATCGACACCCACAGACGGACGATGCTCTACACAAACACAACCTTTGCCCCTGACAAATGCATATAGTGCTATGGAAACACACGATGTGAACAGAAACAACTGCAACTTACTATGTGTTTCTCCTTCGGTTGGCGTGAATGTATGTTTTATCCATGCTTGGTTCAAACAATAATGTTCGGAAATATGTCTACCCCATGTGGACACCAACAGACAGAATAGTCCAAAGTCAATCAAAAGATAGATTAGTACAGAAACTATGATAAATGATAAATTTGGAGGCAAACATCATTTTTTTCCAGGAAATCATCTGCACATTTGGAAACGAATTCATTCACTCATAATTTATTGACTGGCTTGTATGCCACTCATTGCAATCAAAACGGTACAAAAGATTGGCTGGAGCCAGCAAAGCTGGCACCCCATGTAGCTGGAATATTCTATCTGTTGATTTCGAATCATTTTGCATATTAAAACATACAGCAAAATATGGTCGATTTATGTTCTATCCGAAAAACAACCGCAAACCAACATCAACATGAAACATGCACGCATGCACGCATGCACGCACGCACACACACACACACCTAACCATCAGACATAGTGCATCGAATGTTCAGTTGCAATGCTTTCGACACCCATCGACACCCACAGACGGACGATGCTCTACACAAACACAGCCTTTGCCCCTGACAAATGCATATAGTGCTATGGAAACAGACGATGTGAACAGAAACAACTGCAACTTACTATGTGTTTCTCCTTCGGTTGGCGTGAATGTATGTTTTATCCATGCTTGGTTCAAACAATAATGTTCGGAAATATGTCTACCCCATGTGGACACCAACAGACAGAATAGTCCAAAGTCAATCAAAAGATAGATTAATACAGAAACTATGATAAATGATAAATTTGGAAAAAAACGAATCAAATCTAAGTTTTCCAGAAAATCATTGCACGTTTGGAAACAAATTCATTCACTCATAATTTATTGACTGGCTTGTATGCCACTCATTGCAATCAAAACGGTACAAAAGATTGGCTGGAGCCAGCAAAGCTGGCACTCCATGTAGCTGGAATATTCTATCTGTTGATTTTGAATCATTTTGCATATTAAAACATACAGCAAAATGTGGTTGATTTACGTTCTATCCGAAAAACCACCGCAAACCAACATCAACATGAAACATGCACGCACGCACGCACACACACACACACCTAACCATCAGACATAGTGCATCGAATGTTCAGTTGCAATGCTTTCGACACCCATCGACACCCACAGACGGACGACGCTCTACACAAACACAGCCTTTGCCCCTGACAAATTATAGTGCTATGGAAACAGACGATGTGAACAGAAACAACTGCAACTTACTATGTGTTTCTCCTTCGGTTGGCGTGAATGTATGTTTTATCCATGCTTGGTTCAAACAATAATAATGTTCGGAAATATGTCTACCCCATGTAGACACCAACAGACAGAATAGTCCAAAGTCAATCAAAAGATAGATTAGTACAGAAACTATGATAAATGATAAATTTGGAAAAAAACGAAGCAAATCTGAGTTTCCAGAAAATCATTTGCACGTTTGGAAACAAATTCATTCACTCATAATTTATTGACTGGCTTGTATGCCACTCATTGCAATCAAAACGGTACAAAAGATTGGCTGAAGCCAGCAAAGCTGGCACCCCATGTAGCTGGAATATTCTACCTGTTGATTTTGAATCATTTTGCATATTAAAACATACAGCAAAATGTGGTTGATTGATTAACGTCCTTTTATCAAACAATTTGAAAAACTCTCGCAAAACGCAAAACCAACATGAAACATGCACACACACACACACCTAACCCTTGCTAACCATGCCTCATCAGACATAGCGCATCGAATGTTCAGTTGCAATGCTTTCGACACCCATCGACACCCACAGACGGACGATGCTCTACACAAACACAACCTTTGCCCCTGACAAATTATAGTGCTATGGAAACACACGATGTGAACAGAAACAACTGCAACTTACTATGTGTTTCTCCTTCGGTTGGCGTGAATGTATGTTTTATCCATGCTTGGTTCAAACAATAATAATGTTCGGAAATATGTCTACCCATGTGGACACCAACAGATAGAACAGTCCAAAGTCAATCAAAAGATAGATTAATACAGAAACTATGATAACTGATAAATTTGGAAACAAACATCATTTTTTTTCCAGGAAATCATCTGCACATTTAGAAACGAATTCATTCACTCATAAGTTATTGACTGGCTAATATACCACTTATTGCAATCAAAATAGTACAAAAGATTGGCTGGAGCCATCAAAGCTGGCACCCCATGTAGCTGGAATATTCTATCTGTTGATTTTGAATCATTTTGCATATTAAAACATACAGCAAAATGTGGTCGATTTACGTTCTATCCGAAAAACCACCGCAAACCAACATCAACATGAAACATGCACGCACGCACGCACACACACACACACCTAACCATCAGACATAGTGCATCGAATGTTCAGTTGCAATGCTTTCGACACCCATCGACACCCACAGACGGACGATGCTCTACACAAACACAACCTTTGCCCCTGACAAATTATAGTGCTATGGAAACACACGATGTGAACAGAAACAACTGCAACTTACTATATGTTTCTCCTTCGGTTGGCGTGAATGTATGTTTTATCCATGCTTGGTTCAAACAATAATAATGTTCGGAAATATGTCTACCCCATGTGGACACCAACAGACAGAATAGTCCAAAGTCAATCAAAAGATAGATTAAGACAGAAACTATGATAAATGATAAATTTGGAAAAAACGAAGCAAATCTGAGTTTCCAGAAAATCATTTGCACGTTTGGAAACAAATTCATTCACTCATAATTTATTGACTGGCTTGTATGCCACTCATTGCAATCAAAACGGTACAAAAGATTGGCTGAAGCCAGCAAAGCTGGCACCCCATGTAGCTGGAATATTCTATCTGTTGATTTTGAATCATTTTTCATTCAAAATATGGAACATATAATATATTCGATAAACATCCTGTTTGTCAAATTGAAACATGCACACACACACACACACACCTAACCCTTGCTAACCTTGACTCATCAGACGTAGTGCATCGAATGTTCAGTTTCAATGCTTTCGACACCCATCGACACCCACAGACGGACAATGCTCTACACAAATACAGCCTTGGCCTTTGCACCTGACAAATGCATATAGTGCCATGGAAACACACGATGTGAACAGAAACAACTGCAACTTATGTGTGGTTGATTGACAATGTACGGAAATAGCTGTACCCTTGGGGAAATCAACAGATAGAATAGTCCAGCAGATAAATCATACAAAAATATGCAAAAATCATGATAAAGGCGAATTTGGTCACAGTTTCCGGAAAATCATTGATGCCTCTGAAAACCCTATATATATTTGATGTATATACACAGATTAACAGATAGAATATTCAATACTGCAACGAAACCTCAAAAACTATTCTATCTGCGAGTTATACTGTCAACGTGTTTTTCTGCTATTTTTTCATTTTCAACTTACCCGAAAAAGTCATTGATTTTATTCTATGTGCCAGTTACTGAATCTAGTATAGTCGGGGCCGGGCAAGTGTTGAGGATGATGAAGATGACTCTTTCGGTGGACGTGGTGACATTTGGATCAGCCCGCCAAGAACTGGAGGCAAAATCGTCGCCTGCTACGGGCTGGGCGTGAATTGGAATGGGCCAGTGCTGATGGGGGAAGGCACTTTATTACAACCAGGTGACACTGATCAGACGTTCATGAACGTTCCTTCAATGCTGGATGGAGCCACTTACTTTGGGCATCCCATCAATGTATCTGCTGGCTTTTGGACTATTGAGTTCGAGCCTCCCACCACCTTGTACGTGTGGGTCATGGATGGTTGCAGTGACTCCCTTGAACTGGTGGGGCCTACGACAGGCTGGACTTTGGAGGATGCCCCAGGCTTCCAAACCAATGATGGATACAAGCTGCACTTAATGAGCAAGTATGTTGAGAAGTTGGACAGGTACACCGGCTGCTATGAAGGCTTCAGAACCATCAGTTCCAGCTTTTGTGGCGGCTTGATTGGGGTCTACCCCTTGCCAAAGCAACCTGAAGTGCTCGTGTCCGCGGCCTGCGCTTCCATGCCTTCGAACGATGCCCCAGTCACATTTTGCTCTGGCCTCGAAGTCGAGTGGAATTCTCCAATGAAAATGGAAGAGGGTACTCAGACCAATCCAGGCGAAGAGGCCTGGTCACCTGGTCTTTTGCTTTCTTTTACCAAAATTGTCCCGTACTTGACCTGTTGAAACTGTGGGTCTCAAAACACCAGAGATGTCTCGGGGTAGGGGGGGAATACCATAGCCAACGCCGAGAACAGGAGCACGTCTTTCAGAATGTGCCCGGAGTGCTTTTGGGTGGCACCTACATTGGCAGCAAGTGCTGGCCTTCAGCAGGAACATGGACCATTGACTACCAAGCTCCTTGCAAGTTGTACGTCTGGGCCAGGGAAGGTGAGTACAATGCAGGAGTGAATGATCTCCTGAGTGCTGATGGATGGGCAAGAGAGGCAGCAGAGGGCTTTCAACGCAGCGATGGCAAGGAATTGCACTTGTGGAGCAGGCACTTTATGGAAGGAGCGGGACACGTGGACTCATTTGATCAGTCTATCAGCAGAATCCCTGATTTTGTAGGAACGGACACCACCAGCTGCTTCCCACCCCATCATCCTGCTTTGTTAATTTAGACAACGTACATGAACTGAATCATCATTAGACACCATTGAACACCATCCAAGATCGTTTGAATGTACCCTTTTCTGTCTACCTCCAAAAAGTGATTCACAACGACCAGGAACCTCCTACAGCATCACGGTTGAGTCTTGCTTGGTGGGTGGCGTGGTGGGTCAACCTCTTGACCTGGGTGGTGCAGTGACGTGCTGCTCGGGGCTGGACGTTGAGTGGAACAGCCCTCACTTGATGAGTGAGGGTACTTTGGTGAATCCAGGCGGGTGGGTTTCCACCAAAAAGGTTGGCTGATGGCTGTTGCCGTGGAATTTGAAACTTGTGCAAGTTCTCCTGTGTCAGGCGACCGTGACTACATCTTTAAATTCTTGCCGCCTTTCCTGTCTGGCGGCACATATATCGGCAGCAGGACATGGCCGCAAGCAGGCACCTGGACTATCGAGTACAAAGCTCCTACCATCTTGTATGTGTGGGCGGAAAAGGGTCAGTACAACGCCGGAGTTGATGATGCCTTGAGTGCAGATGGTTGGGTCCGTGAGGAAGAGGGTCAATTCATGCGTTGGAATTCACGCGGGAATAATCCGTTGTGTATTTGGAGCCGGCACTTTCAAACTGGCTCCTCATACAGCAGCTTGGTGGGACTGTATTTTTACCTTGGGTTTAGCAGATGGGAAACCCATGGGCACTTCTCCATGACAGCGTAATGAATGTGTTTTTGGTGTACTGGGGTTCTCTCAAAATTGGGGATGCCCCAAAATGGCAAGTATGTCAGTATATATCATTGGGAACACGAGGACAAACCGTTGAACTTTGCGGTTCCATATTTTGAGGCAATGCCATACTGGCTACAGTAGATATCAGATACTGTGTACTCATTGCATACCAGCTATACCTCAGAGAACTTTGCACCAGCCTGTCACTAGCCCTTGACACGGGCCCATAATCCAGGTTGAGACTCATACCAATGAATTATATATATACATATATACCGGTATATAATCGTTTAATTTCTAAACCTCCGTGAGCGGTGCTTGAACTTAAATCATGTTGACACCCTCATGTTGGTTAGCGTTTGGGGCAGTTGAACGTTGCACGACTCTCAGGCATCCAGACCAACGGCTTGGTGGTTGCTGGTGTTGTTTCTGCGCCCGCTGATGAATGAGACATGACTTAATGCGAAAGGCTGTTGGGATGTTTCACTATCACGTACATTGCTTGCGTCCAAAAAAAGCGGGGGATTCTGCAGCCCCTTGACTTCACGAAACCAGCTGCCAAAGGCAGCATTGCGCTGTTTTACCACTCTCGCTTCTTGCTCGTGGGATGGGGCCCGAAAGGGTCACTGTTCCGCCGCAAAAATCGAAATACATAACTCGAACCACGAGGAAGTACAGCGATTAGCAAAGGCTCACTGTACGAAGCAGCGGCTTTGGTCTCCTGACTCCGCACACCACAATATAGCACAATATTCCAATATCCAAGAGTTTTTCAGTTTTCGTGGACAAAATTGTAGAATATGAAAACTCGGACAGATCATCCAAGATGCTGATGGTCGTTTTCCCACTGCATCTCTTCTTGATATTTGCTATGGAAGAATTGAGGGAGGAAGAGAGACCTCAGACTCTGTGAATCTCTGTGAGATGACAGCTGCTGCCAGAAGCTAGAGGTGGTGATAAAATGATGCGCGTTGCGGGACCTTTCGATGCTCTGCTAGATTTGCAGGTCTTGACACCACAGCACACCACTAATCACAAAGAGATTGCAACATGTAGGGTAGACGGGAGGTTTGCCCGGATTCGATTGGGGTGGGGTCGGGTGGGGCCTAATAATATTGATTGACTGTCCTCTTGCACTTGATGCTATGGTTTAACTTGCGCTAGGCTACAACTTGCTGCACGCTACCACTTGTGCCACCACTTGCTGTTTGCTACCACTTCCTCCTACGCTTCTTGTAAAACCTGATGCTACACTTCAAGGCGCTACGCTACCACCCTTCACTTACGCGTCAACTTCTTCTATGCTTGCTGAAGGTTGAAGCAGTGACAGCTCGTCATAGTTTGTCAGAGTATACAGCAGTCCAAAGATTGAAAAGTGGACCCTGCCCTTCAAGGCTTTGAACGCAGTTAGTAAGAAAGCTGGCAAGGTCACCCTCAAAAAAGTGGCCTTGGAGATCAGGTTGCTGAAAGCCATACTGCATTTATCTTTTAATGAGGCGATCCAACAAGCTCTCCGCTCTCTCCTTAGAAACTGCCCATGGGGGATGGGCTGTCAGCATCGTGCGCATTCCTGCCAATTTAGGTTTGTCATTCTCGAAGCGTATGTACAGTACATGCAAAAGATCATGGACAAAATCAGTCTTCAGAAATGCCTTGTGGATACGTCCTGGTTCACTCTGGGCAAGGCCTGAAATGCAAAATTTTTAAAAGAAGCGGCCACGCCATTCCCTGTAAGAGTTGTTTTCAACTTCCGTTCTGTTAAAAATGAAATTTGCAAATGACACACCAAATATCAATTGAAAAGTCCAGATGACAGGGACTGACCTTACATTCAAAGAAGAATATGTAAAAAATGCCACCCGACTGTGGCGAAACCTTTTTCACATAACGAAAGCTCCAACTGAAGATTTGACGTCCTGACATGATGACATGACATGCAAAACCATTGGCCGGGCTACCCTCCGTCAACCCAACATGTAGGCTTCATCGAGTTCACCGGGGGCAGAACTGCATCGTGACATGGTCAAAAAGAGCTGCTGGCTATTTGCAACTGGCTGGAGATAGCTGGAGGGTTCCCAGACCAGGTTCTATCCTGCATTGAACAAATTGTTTGACAATGAATCCATTGTTCTAGCAGATTCTAGCATGTTCTAGCAAACAATTTCAATTTGCAGCCTTGAGCAGTGCTGTACCTTGTGGGTTCGCGCATGCTGCTGCTGGTTCATGCAATAGTACTCATATACCATATAACATCATATAACTAGTATCATGCAATCAATGAGACGTGAGACTCGCTTTGAGAGTTGCCAAACACATCGACAGAAACCTTTGCACACCTTATTCTTCACTGCAACATCACTTGCAGCAGGAGAATTACTGCTTTTTCTAAGTGGGATCAATGTGTTTTCATTCTAGAAGCGCCTATTTCTTTTACAGTCCAGACATGCAGTATTCAGTTGTAACAACAAGCAAAACATAAAATGTGAAGGAATCCAAACTTGACGCTTGACACTCGCCCCTGGTTTTGTAGCTGCCACACTCCTGTTTGGGCCGTTTTGATCTCGCTGGGTCAGCCATAGGCTCGGGTTGGCAGCCCTATGGATGGTGTGGATGCTTTGATGAATCAACTATGATTGTTTGGAATGGCCTCCGGAGTGAAACACGGACAATGTATTGCCCAGCAAACAGAAAGGAAAAAAACAAACATCCTTGTGCTGATGTTCCCAAGTCCATCAACAGCAAAAGCAACAGCAGCATCAACAAAAACAATAGAAACAACAGAAACAACAGTGACAAAACTGACGGCAACAACAACAACAACAGCAACAGCAACAGCAGCAACAGCAGCAGCAACAAAAGCACCAAGAGCAACAAAAACAACAAGGCAGTAGTAGCAACAACAGCAGCAGCGACAACAACAGCGACAGCGACAGCGACAGCAACAAGTAAGAAGAAGGTGGTGATGAACAATAAACAACACCAAGAACAGAAGAACATCACACCCCCACCAACAGAATAATGCCGCCATAAACAGCTCGCCCTTGCAGGTTCCCAGCACATCTGCTTCTATGGCGCCCAAACATGGTGGTAGTACTGGAATGGGGAAGAATGTGAGGTCCTCAGTATCCTCAGGCTCTGAACGTTTTTTTTTTTTTGCATTTTTGGCACTGAATTTAACTTATCTCCAAAAACCGAACTAATTTCGTGCTTTGAAGGCTTTGATTTCGATTCATGTCTTTTGCCTTAGGGATGATTCTACTAGCATGGCACCATTCGCTTAATTTTGCCGAGGCCCAAGTGCGGAACAAGAGTGCAAACCCAAATCAGATCACAGCTGAACAGCTTCTCCGAGAGGCTGGGGTGCTCTGATGTGCTGACTGTTGCAGGGTTTCTAACAGCATCAATCTCTCCATCCATTTCAAAACGCTGGAGTGGCCAACCGTGCCTGTTTGACAAGCGAGCTACATAAGTTCCAATCACCGCATATAGTCCTGCTGGACATCTTCTTACACATGGTAGTAATTCTATCATTTTATATCACACCTCAAAGTGCAGAATGATCATGACCCGGATTAAATTCCAACAGTTACAACTGATTTTGCCCAAACAGTGTTGAGGTTCTATCCCGAACCAGAAACCACCAGCCACCGGTCCCTCGGTGGTCCCTCAGGCAGTAGATCGACAACAGGAGGAAGCCGTGGCACCTAAGCAACGCATCGCGGATGAAGATGAGCTGATGGTGCGGGAGCTGCGACAAACTAAAGAGTGAGGGTGAAAGCGGAGGGGTAAAACATGGTAAGACCTTTTTGATGCCAATACAATGAAGGGCTTTGGTTGGTCTTTTAGGGTGAAGCCTTGGATTTGTGAGTCTTTATGGACTTTATGGTGAGCATTTACCATGTGTGGTCAGCGGGCGAGGCAAACAGGAGAAGTTGGGATCCCAGTACTGATGTAGCCGGCCCTGGCAGATGTACAAAGTGCGGAAGAGGAAGGAGTTTGAGGATGTGATTCGTCGACAGCGACAGAATATTGGCTCCTGGGTGCGGGGCTGAGCAAACTCAGGGTTTGGGCTGGCGAAGGGATTTCTTCGACTGGGTCTGAAACAAAGTTCAGCAGTCTCAGGACTGGTAGACCTGACCATCACTGTGGTATTGGTGTCAGGAGATAAATGAGTGGCTTACAGATGCACCACCTGCTGGCCTGCTGATGTTTTAATTGTCATCGGATGCATCAGTAGATACTGTACATGATTGCATGGATAGAACTCAATAGGACTTAAAGTCGTAATCATCAGAGTTTTCTGTGTATACACGACCATCCGGCTTGGCCATCGCCTACGTAGAAGACAGCTGTTTCTCTATCCCATACTTTTCCATTATGGACACGCTTGGTTCACCACACAATAGGCACAAACACGAAGGGACACTGGCTTGGACTGGTTTTCAAAGCGAACCTTGGCAAGGTGAAGTATGCGCAATGGGAAGCCTCGCAGCAGGCGGGAGTGGGCCAGGTCACAGATGTCCTTTTCCCACCTGTTGATTATTGATTATAAAAGGGTGGTGCCTCGCGTATTTCACAACCAATGTATAAGATGGCACCAAACTGACCCTGACACATCGGCAATTTCCATGAAGTCACCGGTGCTTTGTGCGCTTGCTGGAACACAGCACACTGCCGCGGCCCAGGAATTCCGACGTGCCCGCTCCATCTTTGAGCGTGCTTTGCATGTTGAGTGCGCAGTCTGGGTTTCAGAAATTGCGGTGCACATCGGTGCACCATGCTCCTAGATCTTCTAGATCTTCTAGATCTTCTACTCAAGTCACAAAGGGCAGAAGGGGCTTTCAGTCAGGGTTCTCCAGTTTGTTTTGCCGGATTTTGGCCAAGCATCCCGGAGACCCAATGGCCCAATTCGCCTAAGTCCTGTTCCAATGGACAGCGCAGGTACCAAAATGTAAGCCTTTGGCTGAAATACCTGGAGATGGAGATGAAGAACAAGTTTGTGAATCACGCACGAAACCTCTTCGATAGAGCCAAGCCGTCACGCTTGGACAACATCTCCGAGAAGAAGCAGACCCTCCATAATTGCGATGTTGTTGATGCAACTGTCCTCTAGAAAACACCTGTGCTTAGGGCTGAGTCTGGAAAAGGATTGCTTGATTTGTTTCGATCCCCTGACTCTCGACGTTTTTTAGACCTGTTGTCTGCCAGAGGGCTTGATAAATTGTTTGCCATGAGTCATTTGCAAGACGACAACTAACGACTACAATTATATATAACTTTTGGTATCTTTTGGGTTCGTCAATGGTTATCCCAAAAGGAACATATGAAATCATATGAAGGAAGGTGGTAACTCACCACTGGAAGGGGGTAGCCAATTTTTTCAGAGAAACGCCAGGTTGTCCAGCTACTTCCAAGGCTTGCGATCGCTTGCGATAAGTGATGGGTGATCGAATGCGATTGAGGGAATGTATCCGTAACCAGGCAACTTGAATGGATACTCTAATGACATGGGTTTAGATTCGCAGATTTGCTTAAAAGTTGTGATACATCAGAGACATGCCAAATTACATGCTGCAGATATTTGGTCTCATGTTGTACTGGAACCACTGCCAGGGTGGACCAGTTCTGGTACAAGTATGCCTACATGGAAGAGTTGCTGGCAAACTATGCAGGGCACCGCTGTCGATTTTGCAGTCATTGGTTTCACCACACATGGAGTGCTCAATCAAGTGTGAATAGCAACGAGGTTTGGGAGAGGGTTTCAAACAAAGAGCATATAGAGCATGGGATGAAATGAACACTTGGTCTTTCTTTCAACTGGTTTTACTAGATCTTGGAGCGCATGACCACAGAAAGCGCCAGGGCCCGCACCATCTACGAGCGATGGATGGAATGGGAGTCTGGCACTTGGCATCAGGGGACCTGAAACATCTTTGCCGGTCACCAGTGCAGTGCAGGCCTGATGACAGTCCGTGGCTCCAATACGTCAAGTTCGAAGAAAGGCCTGGGGGTCCATCATAATTCATTAGATTCTTTGGGCAGTCAGTGTTTTTTGTTTAAATAACCCAAGACAGATGAGGTTCGATATGATGTGATAGATCGATAGATCGATAGATAGACAGATAGATTTCTGTCATATTTGATTGGGATGCGGCCACTATTTCAAGCCAATAGGAATCGCCTCGGGAACAGATATGTTGGCAATTTTTGTTGGGTAAGACAATGTTAAGACACCACTTCATTGGTACTGGTAGTGAAGATCTCTTAAGACACCATTTCAGTATTATAAATATTCATATATATATACATACATACACGTATATATATTATATATATATACATACCTATATATATATACATATACATATACACATACACATACACATACATATACATACACATACACATACACATACAAATACACATACACATACACATAGACATACACATACATATACATATACACATATACACATATACACATATACATACATACATACATACATACATACATACATACATACATACATACATACATACATACATACATACATACATACATACATACACACATACATACATACATACATCCATACCATCCATACCAACATACATACATACATACATACATACATACATTACATACATTACATACATTACATACATTACATACATTACATACATTACATACATTACATACATTACATACATTACATACATTACATACATTACATACATTACATACATACATACATACATACATACATACATTACATACATTACATACATACATTACATACATTACATACATTACATACATTACATACAATACATACATTACATACATTACATACATTACATACATTCCATACATTTACCATTACATACATTACATACATTACATACATTACATACATTACATACATTACATACATTACATACATTACATACATTACATACATTACATACATTACATACATTACATACATTACATACATTACATACATTACATTAATACATTAATACATTACATACATACATTACATACATTACATACATTACATACACTACACTACACTACACTGCATTTCATTACATTACATTACAGACAGACAGACAGACAGACATACATACATACATATAAATCATAAATCTATAATATAATGCAAATATCCACACTTTTCCAAAGAAACATGTTAAATTATCCGGTTCCTGCGGTATCCAATGACTTGAACAGAAGCGGGAGCCTGCGAGCCTGTGACAGGTGCGGTGAGCTGGACAAGGCTCGAAAGGTGTGGCATCTCAGATTGGGATGAAAAAAAGTGTGGGAAACAGCTCAGAAAGTAGAATTTGATCACCCATGATAGGGTAGAAATCGGTAGAAACCTAGAAACCTTTTCTTTCCCTCCACTTTGTGGTTTCATTGGTATTATTTGGTGGAATTTTGACTCCTATCCACTTTAGCCCTACTTGTTGGCAGATGCTCCACTGAAAGGTATTGGAGCGATATGTCAGCTGCCGACCAACCCAACAGGTGCCTGTACCAGTCATGGGAAGTGGGGAATGTGTCCCAACACAAGCAATGTACGTTTGTCATTTGGAGAATGGATCTTCAGTTCCGCCACTCCATTCAAACGAAGCCTGAGCGATTGGACTGTTCTGGTGCGGAAGACTACGCCAGTTTGAAGCTCTGTCTGTGGCTAGGCCTTTCTGCGTCTCTGCAAATTTGAGGAGAAGCATAACAATGCGGTTTCTTGGTTCGCATGTGTGTGAGATTCAACGGTCTGTGGTGTGGTTCTGTACAATTGAAACATATTGAACTTATACATGCTTTGAATTTGCCAAGTCTCTATGCACAGTCCCCTCCCAAGTCTCTATGCACAGTCCCCTCAGAGGCACTGGTCTCTGCATCAATCCTCCTGTGGTTGAAAGATTTGGTCATCTCCCCATCCAGATCATCCAATTTTTTGGGACTCGATTTGGGGTTTGTCTAAAAACTAGGTATACCCGGTAGTATACCCAGAATGGTAATGTTAATGGGTAACATCATGAACGATCAGACTTGGGAGTAGCCTATTTTCAGACAAACCCATTTTGGTCCATATCCGAATTCCATATCCATGTTGAAACGGGCCAACTTCCCAGGCTCGCGCACGCTCGGCGCTTCTGACGAAGTTTCGACTTCAAATGAACAGCATTTTACAAGTCCACCATCCTGGAAAATCTGGACCGATTTTCACATCTGAGCTACTTAGGGATTCTTTAAATCTTTGTTGGGGCAAGCATTGATTTGAGACACGCTTCCTTGGTTTCTGACGAAAGTCCAAAGAGATGTGGTCGCCAGGGCTTCGAGAAGTCTGTTGAACTGTTGGGCCAAGAACTTGATGAGAAGTGTGGATCCCAAGTGCCGGTATTCGCTCAGCAAATCAAGGAAGAACCACCAAAGACTGAAGCAACAAAGTACTGCAGAACAAGTTATAATTATATATAATTATTCCTGAAGTGACTTTGGCAGTCTGGTGTCTCGAGGAAGAAGTACCACTTGCACCGGGTCCTGACATGTAAGAAGCCTGCTTGAGGTTTTACATCAAGTTTGCCCAGTTCGAACAACGACAAAGGGAGATGGAGCGAGCGCAGGCCCGTTGCAGCGATCGGAACGCCCTGGAATCTAGCAGGCCACTGCTTTGAGGTACTTCTGACTCATATGACCGTGCTTTCAATATGACCCTGGTTTCTTTTCAAGCTGTTCTTGTTTGCAAACTTGCAGGCCATCTTCAAATTAGCGTTGGACATCCTGCCAAAAGGCCTGGCTGTGCATTGGATGCACTCTCAATGCCAAGCTCATTTAACGACAGTTGGCGATAAAACCTTCCATGAACTTATTTGGGAAGGTTCTCATTCGAGTGATGGTTCAACGTCTCACACCAGCAGAGATAGCCGGATGATTGAACATTGATTGAGCTAAAGCTACATTTTAACTGGAGACTAATCTACCAGCCATCGACTAGTATCTTTGGTTGGCCGTCCGCCCAGCCAGTGGCTTTTTCTGGTCACATCTAGGGGATAAGAACAGGCTGCCAGCGGAAAGGCCGTTTTTATTATCCAAACGACCAGCAACAAGAGGCACTTCCCCAGAACTGGGCGCAACGCGAAACATGGGAAGCCAGGGATCTTCTCTGGGCTTCACCAGTTCTGCAATTGTTTTTCGGAGGCGCCAGCGATGAACTCTATCGCGCTTATGTGTCTTTCGAGAAGCAGCATGGCGACAGAGACGCTATTGAAGAGGCAAAACCAGTGGCAGCCCAATCTGGCAATCCGGACATTCGGCATTTGTAGCATTGATATGCGTTGATGATCATCCCAGTGAAATGTGCATTTCCCATTACAATGTTAGATTGCTGGAGAGTTTTGCCAACCCACTTGGTGCGGCTTGATGGGTTCGATGGGGTGGACATGGCCAAAACCAACAAGCATTGGAGTCTAAAACTTTCAATGAAAAACGCATGTATGAGTATATGAGGAACAACCCTGTTTCAGGCTTCGGGTAGAAGGAATCGACACAGGGATTCACGCTTCAACCAACCAACGATGAAACCAACCACGGCGCACTTCTCGTGCAGGTGGTCATCAACAAGCGGCGCTTCATCTATGAGGAGAGATAGATACTGACTGTAGCTTTGGATGCTGTTTTTAGGTGATATTGGAGAGATAGGACTTGAGGAAATGGAATAGACAGAAGATGCTCGTGACATCGATAAGGAAAAAGGAATATTGCAGCTGATGGTTCAAAAACAATTAGACAAATGGATTTGTTGTGTCTAGTGTGGCTTTTGCTGCTGGATGCCACCCAGTGACGCTTGTTTGTAGCCCTACTTTAGCTAGATTTGCCACTGTATTGAGACTAGAGACCCAAACAACTCTGTGCGTTGTCACACTGACTGCAGGAAGCAATCGTGAAGAATCCGCGGAACTACGATGTGTGGCCGGAACCTCAGTCTGGGTTTTGGAGGGAGAGAGGCTGTGTCAGATATGCATTCCAGCTCATATATTTGTGTTTGTGATTGATAGTATAGTATGATGGGTACTTGGGGTCAAACAGAGGACAGACATGTATATGTGTATACCAGTAGTACCGCACAAGGCGGTGGCGGAAGTTTCAGAATAGGAAACCTATAGAAGACGTTGGTTGTTGTGAATCACGGATGGCAGAGCGAATCCACTGATTGACCGAAAGGTGGTTGGAGTTGTGTTTGCTGGAGTGGTTGCAATGGTTGCAGTGGTCACCTCACCCACAACTGCTGGATGTAGTGTGATGTACTGCAAATGTAGTTGTAGTTGTAGCGTAGTGGAGTTGTAGTTGTGGTGTAATGTAATTAGTGTAG